TTGGCGGCGCGTCCGCCCCTCGCCCGGTCACCGAAGACGACAAAGCGATCTTCACCCGTGCGACGTCCGACGAGGCCAACTACGCGAGCAGTCAACTCGCGCGCGTGTGTGCGTCAGAGTTCATTTCTGTCTCGACGCAAGTGGTTGCAGGAATGAACTACAAATTCACAGTCATGGGATGCGCTTTGGAGACTCCGCCGCCAGCGACCGCCGACTGCAAGACGACGTGTGCGTTCAAGCCAGTGGCGACGTACGAGATCAAGGTCTTTGCCGGCTTGGACAAGACGGTCAGAGTGGTGGACGTGTCTTATTTTGTGGGTTTGCCTGCACTTCTTTCGAACTCTGCTAGCGGGGTCGAGGTCGTGAACTCTGTGCGCGGTTTTTAAACGTTTGCACATCCATGGCTCGGCGAATAAACTCTCGTCGCCACGACATGTTTGTGGTGTCCGACCGCTGGGACTCCCAACGTGCGTGCGCCAAAGAACTAAACATGCAGTGTTGGCGTAAAAGAGTTCAGTTGAAGCGCTTGCATGTAGCTTCGACGTAGATCCCGTTGAAGGCTATGCCGTGACGATCGAGACGTAGATTGAATCAAATGGTTCCCTCGCCGAGTACTTTGGCATCGCCATTGTGAAAACACTGGGCCGAGCCGGTTGGCTACGTTGAGTCAACGACCACGGTTGGTCCTCTCCTTACAAAGCACTCTGCACGCAAAACGCTGTGGTAGGGACCTCGCGGACGTCATTTGGCACGGAGACGCTCGAGGGGAAGCGAAGCCATTCTCGGTGTAGTAGGCGGAACATGACCGTACGAACTCTAGGCCATCATCGTTGGCACTTGTCCGTCAGCGGAAGTCATTTACAACAACAATCAGTCAGCTGCGTCAACTAGTAGACCACGACAGTCATGCTGGAGCCCAAAGGGCTGACACCCTGACGAGGTTAGGCGAGGCGATCGAGGACTGTATGGGGGACATCACTTCCTAAGTCCAACACCGACGTTTCGACATGCAATATCATGAACTCTGGAATTAACAGGAGCGAGCAGCGCGATGGATCAAGAGGGCAAGCGCGAAAAGACGACGTAGTGTCAGGGGACGTCGACTCGGTGCATGAGTCGGCCGCGCTGTCTCGCACCGTCGTGTCGGCGAAAAACAATCGAAACGACAAAACATGGCGATCTCGGTCGACGATCCAATTTTGCCCTCGCGCGGCGCGCGCATCGACCAAACGCGGACGAGGCGGCGCGAACCACTTGATGCGTTCGATGCAGTAGGAGCACGTAAACCAACCGAGGTGTCTGTGTATTCAAAGCCTGCATCGAATCCGAGATGCGACAAGATCGCTGAAATAGGGGGGATTTGAGACTACTATGTCGTTCTGGCGCACGGCATGATTCTACGTAATAATGGCTCCGACGGGTAAGCCGACACAGGCATCGAGTGAGCCGCATGCAACGCATTCGACGTTGGATCGAGTTTCAGTCATGCTGCCTGGCCAGAGAAGGCCCCAATATTAGCAATGCGTGTTAACGCGATGCACATCATGATTGCATTTATGCGCCATGAACAAAGTCCATCTCGTCATCGTTTCTGGTTGACAACGCTGTGCCATCATCGGCTGCACCTGATGTCGCGAAAGCCATGGCTGTCGCAGCAGCATAGAGTGGGCATACATCGAGAACCATCGACGAGTCGTCGACCGGCATCGTGTCGGGCATTGTGTGGTCACTCAGATCGTGATGGCGGGCATGCATTCTGGAAGCTTTGGAAAATGTGGGGCCAGCACCAGTTCACACATTGGGGAATTCCTGTCCGACGCTTTGTTTGATGGGACGCGATTTCTGGATCCGTGGGTGCAGCATACCGTTCTGATGGGTTCGAACTGGCCCTTCCCCACGGCTGGGGCAGCGCGACGTTTTCATGCCATCGTAAAGCGCCGAGTTGCCGTCCGCATGTGGTTCGCGTGGAACCTATGCGGGCAGCCACCTCACATCGTCCACGTCCCTCCCGCCAGACGGTCCGGCGATGCTCCAGCCGTTAGACGTGGAAATATTCAATTGGATCCTGCCGACACTACTCAGATCGCAGGGCCAAGAACAAGGCGACTTGGCTTTGTAAAGCGTCAAGAGCGGGAGCATTTTTCAATTTGATCGAAAACCATGAAGTGCGCTCTCTCACTCGCGTGCGTTGCCGCCGTCGCATCGGCGTCCAACTACCACCGTGGTGTCGGCGCCGCCGCTCCAGGCGGTTGGACCCCTGCCAACGTCGAAGACGTCAAGAAGGTCTACTACAGCGTGTCCCCTACCGAGTCCTCGTACACGCCGGCCACCATGCTCCGCCTCTGCGCGACTGAATTCACGTCGGCCGAGATGCAGGTCGTCAACGGTATCAACTACAAGCTGCATGTGCAAGCGTGCACCGTGAGCTCGGCCAAGGAGGCCACTCCCACGTGCTCGTGCCCCTCGGGTGCCAGCAAGGCATACGCGATCAACCTCTTCAAGGACCCGAATGAAGTGACGAAGGTGTCGAACATCGAGCTGGACACCCCGGCCGACGGAACGCCCACGACAACTCCCGAAACAAAGATTGGCGGCGCGTCCGCCCCTCGCCCGGTCACCGAAGACGACAAAGCGATCTTCACCCGTGCGACGTCCGACGAGGCCAACTACGCGAGCAGTCAACTCGCGCGCGTGTGTGCGTCAGAGTTCATTTCTGTCTCGACGCAAGTGGTTGCAGGAATGAACTACATTTTCACAGTCAAGGGGTGCGCCTTGGAGAAAGCGCCGCTCGCGACCGCCGACTGCAAGACGACGTGTGCGTCCAAGCAAGCGGCGACGTTCCAAATCAAGGTCTTTGCCGGCTTGGACAACACAGTCAAAGTGTCGGGGGTCTCTTCTGCTGCGGGCTCGCCTGAACTTCCGTCCAACTCTGCTAGCGGGGTCGAGGTCGCGAACTCTACCGCGACCACCCCCGCCACCCCTACCCCTACCGCCACCACCGTCGTTATGAATTCCGCTGCGACTGGACTTAGCCTCGGCTTCACGGTGGCGTGCTTGGTCACTGCGGCTGCTGCCGTTCTCTAAGTTCTATCATTTTCTACGATTCGCGTCGATCTCTCGTTGCCAGCCGCCTTCTCCTTCGCCGTCACGGCCGCCGATGCGCATCTTTGCATCAAGCTCTCGTCCCACACGAAACTCAGAAACTCGACTCAGATGTGATTTTTTTAAATGTGGATACTGTATACTAAGTTCAAATAACAAATTGAATTGTTATTCAGCCTCGAGTTGTTCGGATATAAGGCGACTTAACCGGACAAGTCACCTGCCAACTCGCTCTCGCAAAATCCAGATTGTTGCGGCGCGAACGAATTATATGAAGACCTTCCTGCGGACGATTGCGTTGTCGGCGGCGTTGGTGCTGGGGCTTCGCGGAGGAGGCGGTCAGGGTGACCTGAGCGACGGAGTGCCTGGAGGATCCACCTCAGCGGACGTCGAAGCAACAAAATCGTTGCTGTACAAGGCGCTCGAGACTGCCACATCGTCCTACGTGTGTGTCAACCGTATAGTCTCGGTGGACCAGCAAGTCGTGGCGGGGATGCACTATACGTTTCACGTCCTCGCGTGCCCAGTCTCGTCCAAGCAAGAGATGGTGGAATCCTGTGCGACTGCCCATTGTTCTTCGGAAGCTGCTGTGTCGTACTCGATCGACGTGATTGAAAAGCGATGGAAAGACGAAGTGCAGCTCCAATCCATCACAAAGGAAGCGGCCGTGCACGAAGTCTCAGTCGGTGGATGGAAGGAAGGGTCAGTGACCGATGCCACGTCAGACTTTTATGCTGCCGTCCAAAGCGAATCCAGCTACGCCAACGCGAACATCCCTCGAATCTGCGCGATCGAGCTCATCTCGGTGAACCAGCAAGTCGTGTCGGGGATGAACTACCAGTTTCACGTGAATGGATGTGCAGTGCCCACCGCCGCCGAGGCGAATGCCGCGTGCGTTTGCGAGGACTCGGCGGTTCATGCCTACACGATTGCCATATACGCGCAGTCATGGACGCATACGTACAAGGTGACAAGCGTCACGGAGAATCCCCCTGTCCTAGGGGGTTGGACTCGTCGCAGCATTCAAGAGACGGACAAGGCGCGCTTCGTCCAAGCCATGGATGCTGATACGAACAATCCTCTGCACGTGTGTCCGTTGGAGTTTGTATCGCTGGAATCCCAAGTCGTTGCTGGGACCAACTATCGATACCACGTCAACGCGTGCCCGGTTGAAGAAATGACTTCTTCTGGTGCAAGACCACTCGTCGCCCACGGCTGTCCGGCGTGCACCTCGGCCATCGCAAGGAAATACGAGGTTACCATTTACAAGCCCCTAGATGCAGCGCCGTCGCTCGTCAGCATCATCGACGTGGCGCGAATGTCCTTGGGCTTACAAAGCCATCGTTCAGCACACCAGGGGGCTAGCGATTTGGGGCTCTTGGCCGTGCTCGTCAGCGGCGTCGTCGTTGTGTCGCTCTTGCTCGTGCACAAAATGCGGAGATCGCAGTACGAAAAGCTCAAAAACATGCAGGTAGCGGACTGAACATAACTGAGATCCGTGTGCTTGTCCTCTGCCAAGGCTTTCCTCGTTGCATGAATCGTCCTCATGGCAGGTTGCTGCAAGGACCTGTAGAAGATAGATCACCGCTGCCAACAGTACCATCATTGAACTTCCACCTTCACGACCACAGCACGCTACAACTGGGCCGTACACTTTTGAATGGCCGAGACGAGGTCGACATGTTTCAGCTTTGCAAGTTTCTTCTTGACAGGGCCTTTGGGTTTCCCGAAGATGGCGTCGCACGCGGTGGGGTCGACCACAGCGTCGTTGAATCCGTTGACGACTGCGTGGCGAAGGCCGTTGCAGGCAAAGAAGATGCGGATGGCGTACTCCTGGTTGGCGCGCAGAGAAAAGGACACCCCAAGGTGATCCGAGAGTTTGGCTGTGATGTCTGTGGACCACGGGGGGCCGGCCTTGAACCACTGTCTGTCGATGGCTCCGTTATGAGCGTTCATGAGGAGCCCGTCGCCTCCCGACGTTGTCGACAGCATCGTTTTCCCATTCGCGTAATTGATGAACCCGACACCGTGGCCGTCAAAGCTGAGCGCGACCTTGCCGTCCTTGTACGTGCCAAACAAGCGGTACATGTCCTTTGCGTTCGATTCCTTGTCGACTGTGACGGCAATCGAATTATTGGGCCACCGACATTGCGCCGACCCATCGACACGGACGGCCACTGCAGCTACATTCGACCCCGCGTATTTCACGACCAATTCGGAGGGGTTGAGTTGGAGCGTGAGGAGAGGAGGTAGAACAGAAGAGTCGCCAGCGCCAGGTGAGGTGTCATCAGGACTGGAGGTGCATGCATGGAGGCTCTTGGACGATGGCATGGCCTGCGTGCGAGTGTACTGTTCCATGTCGAGAATGTCGTCATCGTCGTCTTCGTTTGGAACGAAATGGTTGGACTCGTCGACAGATGTGCTCAGCAGTGCGTTCGTTGTCGAGGCGGGTGAAGGTTGATCCGCATTGCTGGTGGCCTTTGAAGCTGCGGCGGCGGGCGGACAAATCTTTGCGTTGGCGAGAGGACGAGTTGACTGTTTGGTACCTCTCCCAGCAGACGACAGCTTGGGCTTGGACGCCACGGAAGGCTGCTTGGACGACCCTCCAAACGTGGGCAAGCCGCTGATGGCATCGGCAATTGAAAAGGACGTATCTGCACGACATGAGATCAGAGATGGGACGGGTGAAGCCATTGTACACTCGTCAACGTCGGGTGCTGGAATGTATTCTTGTACAGGAAACGATTTGAGGAAATCGTCAAGGCGGGATGCTTTTCTGTCCTTCGGAAGTGGTGCAGAGGTGGGTGCGCGTGGGGCGGCGCGAGTGGAGTCAGTCTCTTGTGCGTTGTCCTTGCCGTCATCGTCGTGCTGATTCGTTTCCTGCGAGAATGGACGTTCAGAAGTATGGGGCAAGTAGAGGGTGCGCTACCGATGACGGACGCTGGACAGTTCCCGCAGCGTTCAAAGGCTTTGGTTTCGATGCAGGGACAAGGCGATGGAGAGTCTTGGCAACTGCTTTTCCTTCGTGTGAGTTTCGGAAGGCGCTTGCCCTTGTCCGCATGTCGTCCGACACAACGACCGAGTCAAGTCGGGTTAGCGACGGAACGAGATCCACCACGACCATCCTAACGACATCGTGAGTGGCGGCAGCCCCCGGCGAGTGTACTTGTACGACGGCTCTTTGCAGCATGGATTGGCGTCCACAAGCAGTGACGTGAGCTTGTCTAGGGACTGGAGCCACTTGAGCTCGGGGAGTTCCAACTGATTGTGCGAGATCCACAACTCTGACAGCTGAGCCAACGCCCCGATCCCTTCCAGCGAACTCAGCTTATTATACGACGCCTTGAGCACACACAGCGCAGTCAACGTTTCTACACCGCAAAGCGATTGCAGCATGTTGTGGTTTACGTTGAGGAGCTTCAAGTTTCTCGCCTACACCATCGGCTGTCACGCTCGCAACATCGTGGCCATATTGAGAAGAATGCCGCGTCAGGCAGTAGCGTTCATGCAATTTGACGTACACGTTCGAGAGCTTGGAGTCGTCTCACACGATTAAACTGGACACAACGCAACCATAGTCACTGGTTTTGTCAAGTGTATGTGCACGCACGCACGCACCGCCACGTTCAAATGGAGCAGCGCTGCGCCGTCAGCTTGCTGCAACACTTCATCTAGCATGGACACACCCTCGTCCACGACAATGATTTCTTTGGGCGTGACGACTCGCATGCAGCTTCTGGACCGTGGCGCTCAATCGGTTACACTGAAACCGCTGTGGCGTTTGGTTGACAAGCAATGGCGCGGAAGCAGCCGTCCGCCGAGCCGCAAGGATATTCTGGCGGGTTCTTTCTTCCAGCCCAGCGCTCCATGCACTGCAAAGGCGGATTCTTTGCCACCGACTCCAAGCCCATGATGGCCATGCCCACATCGACAAAAGCGAAGCCCTCCTCAACATCTAACCGCGCAGATGCCACCGCCGCCCCTGTTGAGGTAATACGTCTGGGCCGTCATCTGTGGATCTAACCACGGCCCAATAGCTGAATCATAGCAGCAGCAACAACCAGCAACAGAGTACGTCAGCATCGCTTCGCCGACAAAAGCCACGAGGGATACCCCCTTCGCGGTCCCACCTCCACCATTCGAGGGGCGAATGCTCGACGACTGCAGAACCGCAGAGCGATGTCGAATCCAACGTAAACGCAAAGTTTGAGGTAAGTGCCATTGTGATGCTAAGGTCTGGCACACGGAGGACTATATGACCCTTAGATGGCTTTGAAAGAGCTTCGAGATAACAAAGGGCAATACCAAACGTTTGGCGCCCCACAAAGTTTACGAAATGATATCACGCTTGGCACAGCAACAGCGCGACCTCCCTCGTCTGGAATTACTCAACCACCGCCTCCGACGCCGCCAGAAGTGCGCACGCCAACGCCAGAGACGGAAGGTAATGTCCGACATCTGTGTTGTGCTGTCGCGACCATCCAAACCAGGAAGCGTGCCCATCGGGGATCACTCGCCCAGGAAAAAGCTGAAGATCGCAGAAATGGTTATCCGCAAACTGTACAAGAAGAACTTGGAGCTCGAAAAAGCCCTTGCACAAGCCAAGGCAGACCTCCACAGAGCGTCCCAGCCAGCGCCCTACGAGTACGTCCTTCCCGCCATCGCGTACTTCAGGTCACACCCGTCCATCAGACTGCAGCTGGAGAAACCCCCAACGCTTGAAAGCGTGCGAGTGATCGAGTTGCAAAAGGTACTGTGCTGACGGATGGCTGCGGGCTCGTCTCTTGACGGTGGTGCCTCCAGGACGAATACTTGAAGCACTTGGCGGCTGAGCAAGACAAAACAATTCAGGAGCTCAGACGGAAACTCGAAGAGATCCATGGCGCCAAAGTAAAAACTCCGAAGGAAACAACGTCGAAAACGTCACTGGTTGTGCAGGCATCAGCTTCACCGAAATCAGGCAAAATAACTTCGAGTGCGGCTGTGATTTCACGGCTGCAGAAGCGCCTGCAGGTGCATGGACTATTCGAGCTGAAGTGGTGAGACGAATTCTCCACCACGATGTGCAGGAAGCAATCGGAGAGTCGAGCCGGCAGAAGAACAGCTACATCAAGCTCAAGAGCGACTACAAGCGGCTTTTGCTCCAGCGCACACGCTCGATTTCTGGGAGTTCCGAGGTTCGTTCGCGTCCTTGACTTTGAATCAGTTGACAAGCAAAAATGCCATGATCAGGTGGACTCGCACGCACGAGAGTTACTCGCGCTTATGGAAAAGCGGCTGCTCAAAGTTGAGGACGAGCGCGAGCAGGACATGGCGCTGTACAACATGAAGCTGTACTGCCACTGACATCTTTGGCATGCTCTCAGTGTGCCACCTGAATTGTGTTGGGTAGATTCGAAACGGAGCAGAAAAACTGCGACGACTACGTGGCCAAGAAGATGCTCGAGAACGAAATTTACAAAGTGACCAAGGACGCCCGTGAACGTGAAGACCTGGACAACCAAATCGAGGTTCGACAGCCGTGGATGGAGAATAAGTAAACGTGGTGGTGCTGCCGTGGCTAGAAATGCATGTTTGGCGTATTCGAGCGACTTCATCAAGTTGAGCAAGAGAATATCCGACTGCGGGAAGCGCACGAACGATCCAGGGCGATAGCAACCACACGGGTGAATAATTTAACTTAATGGGATGGCGAAATAAATATCAGGTCAGCGTCCTGGTCGCTGTCGGTGAACTTGAACGCTTCCAGGATGCGTCGAGTTGGACTGGAAGGACGGAGCCGTTTGGGCGCGACTGGCGAAGTCAAAGGGCGAGTGGTGCCAGAGTAGATCGAATGACACAACGCAGGCACCAGCGCCAACACTGTGGTAACTAGCGACATCATCGATTTGTGGGGGGACGTAAAACTTTGGCGCCACCAGGAAGCAACCAGCCACGGCAACACGCCACATGCCAAAGCAACACAGACCACGGCGAAGCACCAGAGGTAGAACCATGTGCCGTCGTTCAATGGGTCTGCTGGCCTTGGCGGATAAACGTGATGTTTCGATGGATCGGTGGATTTGTCGACTTCGGCACGGGCGATAGACTGTATCCACTCGTCCAACACAGAGCACGATGTCAACTCAGCGAGTTGGATATACAAGGCAGTCAAATCCGCTTGCAACTTGTGAAGGCGAGCCACGTCCACTTGATACGCTTTCATTGACCAACTCGAAGCCATTGTTGCAACAGCTTGATGCGATCGGTTCGTACACATGATCGACTCTTGCACATCCCAAAGCGCAACAAAATACAGGACTTGATCGTCCAGCATCGACTCGGTCTTGCGATACAGCGAGCGCATGTCAGCGTCGAACGCTTCATCGAAAATTTGGGCCTGTCGGTCCACCTCGGCAATTTTTTCGTGCCACGTGTGCGCATGGGGTGCAACGCGATTCATACTGGTTTCGAATTGGTCGAGTGCAGGCAGCATGGCGTCGTGGAGCTCAAGTAGATGGGCTTTACAGTACCATCCAAACACACCCATGGCGATGGCAACGACGATGACATAAATGCGGGGGTCGAGGATGCACCACCACCACAGCGACTCTTTCGACTCCTCTTCATGCAAAGTTATTGCAGGTGGGAGGTTGTGGGGTAGAAAGTGCAGCGCAAGCTCTGGCGAAGTTGAACCGAGCCGCCTGACGGTTGACTGTGATGTGCCCGCCGCCGAGGACGATGCATGACGAGGTCGTGGTGTCGGGGGAGTGAGTTCAGGCGTCAATCCGATGGGGCGGAACAGAAACACCGGTCGGGTTGGACTGAAGCGAGTCGGACAAGGTCGCGGCGTTGAATTAGTCTTCTCCAGTACACTGTCGCTGAAAACGTCATCTTCATCTCTCTCAGGTTCACTGACGGTACCCTCGCCTTGAGATCCATCGAAGGCTACATCTGGTATTGCCAGATCGCTCAGGAATATGGCGTTTTGTCCTGGTGAAACATTTAGAGTTGTGGGCGGAGATGCATCAACCTTGGACGTTATCCGTGGTTTTGAACATGGACGATCTGAGTGTGGTCCCATTGATTCCTGCACGATGACCGCACGGAGAGTTGTGTATTGGCGACGGGGGATTTTCGATCGTCGCTGAAGGGCTGGGACCAAATCTTTTCGAGCCTCTTCCTTGGCTTGATCAAGTGACAGAGCGTCATGGTGATGCCTATTGGACGTTGGGGCGGCTGCACCTTTTGTCCTGTCTTTGATGCTGGGCTTCTGTCGGACAAGGGAAGCAGTTGACTGTGGTGAGGACTCGAGGTGCTCATGCATACGGAATGGTGCAGCATTGATATTGAATTGGGTCGTCGTCATCCCAGTTGCGTGGGCGCGCATGTCGGCCATCCTGCTGCCGGCGACGACGGCAAGACAGTTTGGCTGCGTCATGTTCAAGATTGAAAATTGCCCTTCCGGATGGCGGGAAAATTTCGGAAATCCAAGTCGAATTTAAATATATGAAAAGATGTCTACATGATGCTTTTATTTTTGTCCGCAAGGTGGAATTGAGATTTTTCGGATATGCATCCGGATAAGTGCATCAGAATACCGCCAGGATAGTCCAGTCAGAGGGATCTCGCCATGGCGACTCGCCGACGATTCGGCGGTGCCTTCGACAGCAGCCAACAATCAACGTCGGGATGGGTGGATGGAGAAGTAGACGTTCACGAGGACGTCTCTTCTATCCTGCAGGACGAGCGCTTGAAAGCTTGGGACGCGTCAGCGGCGTTTCCTCGAAAGATTCGATACATCACATGTGCCTTGCTCTTCTTCGTTGGCAGTGCAAGCTTCATGTACAAGAGAATTCTTCTGCGCGAAACACAAGAGTACACTATCCTCGCGCAGATTCGACAAGCGATCGTTGAAATGGACGAAATCGCCGCGACCGCAGCAGCCATGGAAGGCCATGTCCACCGCTTAGCTGCCCTGACACAACCCCACTTGGACCTTCAAGCTGCTGACACGAACGATGCAAAACGTCCTGATGTCCTTCGAGCCGAAGTTGACGCCATACATGCCGACACCATGAGACACATGGAATCGATGCTGCAAGCGGTGGTTGAGACCACACGGCAGGACGTGCTTGACCTTGCTGCGTCGTGGGCAGTGCAGCCACCGCCCACTCCATCGCCACTCCATGCCGTCGACCTCGACACAAACGTCGATCAGGGTGCAGCAGATGTAGACACCAGCAGCGATGTCCCTACAACATCGCAGGTCAAGTCCCGCGTGGAACCGCTGCCACCGTTGCCTCCACGCCAGGTCCATCATGTTATGGCAAACGACACAACCTCGACGCCAACATCGCAGCCAATACAAAAGCCACCGAAAGCCAACCCGATGCATTTCGTTCTTTTTACAATGATTGGGACGCTGGTCATCACAGCGGTCTTGGTGTACTGGATGCAGACGCGGGGTTCATTCCACGAGAGCCGAGTTGCATTTCAGAACGGCACCACGCGGCTGCAGCGGCTCGCAGCGTCATGCCAAGCGTGTTGTGTTCACCTTCTTGAGACATGCCACAACGCGCTTGCGGCGTGGAGTCGGCTGCCAACGAATGGATGGATCCAATTATTCCGCGCGTGGTGGCGCCAAGACTCGAACGTGAATGTGGAGGAAGTCAGTGACGACGACGAGGTGTCGTTCTACCCCCAGACCCCTGTCACCTCGGCCAGACAGAAGGACCGTGCGCTCTACGACGATGCGCAGCTCCCTCGAAAACACATCAGCTTTGCTGTACGCCCCTTGGCCATCATCTTGACATGTTCAAGTGTTGCGTAGGACATTGAGAGCGACGACGAAGTGGATGACGCGGACGACGCGAGCTTTGCTCCGTCGCGGCGACCGTCCAACTTTGTCCGCACCGACTTGTACGAGAACATCTTGACTCCCGAGCCAGCTCCCACGAGAGGTTTTCACGTACGAAGGAGAGGCGTTGCCGAGTGACCATGGCTCCAGCGATACAACGGACAAATCGCCGCGACGGCGATCGAGTCGCTTGCATGGCTAGAAAACGCTAATGCTGACCAATACATTGTATGATACGAAGAACGCAATTTGACCGCAGCCACTTGTCGTGCACTGGCATGGAGCAAAGGTGACCCAACCGCTTCAACGAGCTGTCGCCCTGGAGGAGGCCGTGCTCGTGATCCCTTGGTGGATGGAATCCTGTCTGTACACTCACTGGGACTCAACCATCGCGCATCGATTCCACTGGATGGGGCCACGTCGTTGAGTCATGGCATGGTCGGATCGCAGCCCAATCGACTGCATGTTCGAAATCGATTCCAACAGCACTTCAACGGACGGATCCAGGCACGGGCCGCGGCAAGGCGCTGTAGGGTGCAGCTGAAAGCGACGCCACACCATCGCCATGCGGGAGGCTTTGGGATATCCTCGTTGGTGCATTGTTTCGGCAAGTCGCCAATCGTCGTCGTCCCCGTTCGAGATGGACGGTAGCCAGATGGTGGACAGGACGGCTTCGATAGCCTTCTGCTGGCACCTAAAGTTAAACAAGACTTACCGTCATTGGAGCAACTGCCTGTCACCTTATCGCTCGCGACAATGGTTGCCGTCGGAGACTCCCTTCCTTCCGTCACCCTCAAGGAGCTCGTCTTGATCGACGACACGTGCACCCTCGGCCCTCGCAACGTCGATGTCCGTGCTGAAGCGGCGGGCAAGACCATTGCGCTTTTCGCAGTGCCTGGCGCGTTCACGCCGACGTGCTCCAACTCGCACTTGCCAGGCTACATCCAGCTCTACAACGAGTTCAAGGCCGCAGGCGTGGATGAAATCTGGTGCGTCAGCGTCAACGACGCGTTTGTCATGGGTGCGTGGGGCAAGGACCAACAGGCTGAAGGAAAGGTCCGCATGATTGCCGATGGCGACGCCGAGTTCACCAAGGCGCTCGATCTCGTGCTGGACTTGGTGGGTAAGGGCCTCGGCGTGCGCAGCCAGCGCTATTCGTTGCTGGTCCAGGACGGCGTCATCAAGACGATCAACATCGAAGACAACAAGACGCAAAACTCGTTCGCTCCGTTCTTGCTCGACCAAGCCAAGTCGCTCCAATAGTCGAGTCCGTGCATGAATCGGCCTGTTCATCATCACAGGCCTTTACGCTCAGCCGACACTGCTGACGCTTCAATCAGAGTTGTAGCAAGGCGTGGATCTCGCGTTCTCGACGTCGCCTGCGCTCATGGCAGACCTTACGTGAACGAGGCGGGGACTCGGATTACTATGAACGCCAGTGGAGAGAAGTCTACTCGTCTTGTCGGCCACACGCCTAACGTGCATGCAACGCGAACGCCAATGGGATTGCATTACATAGCGATGTTATGGTCGGTGGTCGCATGGCGGCGCAGGAAGGAGCAGCAGCTACACGCGAGGGACCCACGACATGTCCTTGGTCTTGATCTTCTCGTACACAAACGACTCCATTCCGTTCATATCGGTTTCGTCCTTGGCCTTGAGGTACTTGACAAAGAAGAAGTAGTTGAACAGGTTGTGCTTGGTCTCGGTGTGCCGCGCGAACGAGTTCATCACCCCCTTCTCCATCCCGTCGGCCTCGATGACGGTCCGCGACCGGTTACAGACGAGGCACTGTTGGCGCTGCAGTGCCAACTTGTTCTCGGACGCTTCACGCACCGCCGTGAACGCGTCAATGATGATACCTTGAATCAAGTTGAGCAAGAGAACGATGACCACGACGTAAAACCCGAGGTCGTAGCCCACGCGGCCAAAATACGACGCTTTCAACGTGTAGTCGAGTGGGTTGTTGGACGTGTAGTCGCCGATGCCGCCGCCGCTGAGGAGACCTGCAGAAGGACGATGAGGTTGGAACTGTTCAAAGTCGACGGCGCACCATTGTGGATGTGCGTCATAAAGCACTGCATGAGCGAATGGCACTCGTGGGTTCCACTCGCCGTGGTCATTTCGGTCTGGAAGAAGTAGAACCCGTTCAACGCAAACACGTAAATGACGACCGCGCCAAAGACCGCCGTGATGGTGAGCTTGGACGTGTTGGTTGTCATTGCCTTGACCTGGAACAGCCATGCGTGTGAAGACGACTGCAGGGTGGACCACACCAGCCCAACGTACCACAAACCGCAACCCGCCGTTGGTTGCGACAAGGTCCAGGAGCGGAAACCCGTAGTACAAGTACCGGTGGCTGGTGGCGATGAGGCCGAGGAGCCCACACGTTGAGTACGCCAGGAACGCCAGCACGCTCTCGGAGAAGAGCGTGTCATATAAGACGCTGTACCAAAACCGAAACTTGGTCTTGACCATGCGGTTACCCAGCTTGGCCTTCAACTCGGCATACGACGACTCCGAGTTGACGGAGAACCGGAACACGTTCGAGGTTTCGCGGATCGCGCGCAGCGTCGACAGCGCCATCGCGACCCCCGCCACGGTACAGCATGCGATCGACCCGTACGTATTCCAACCGTTCACGTACACAATGAGCGACACGGTCCACAGAATAATTTCTACGGCGACGTGAGGAATTCGGCCGGCGCAAGCGACACCACATACCGAAACATTGAATCGGACCCTGCCACACCTCCCAAACCCGGTCGCGGATGGCTTTGGGCGACCGAAAGTGCAGCTTCGTGAGCGACAACTGCTGCTTGCAGTAATTGAAATTGAACTGCTTGGTCACGTAGAACCCGAGCAGGACGAGCGCGCCGGCCAAGTACGCAATACCGAGCACCTGGAGGAAGACAAACGACTCGGGGCCGTCCCATTTCAACAGCAGCAGCATGACGAAGTTGATGTAAAAGCACAAACTCAAGAGCCGATTCCGCAAATCGGTTTGCCACCGAGCGAGAAATGCGTACACGGCGTGTCGACGGAGGTGCTTGATCACCTTGAGCTCTTCGTCGATGCTCCTACCCAAAGCATGAGCACTTCGACAGCGCGGGCGGCCGAGGACGTACTTGGCGGTCTCCGACAACAAAACTTCCATCGCCTTGTCGCTGCCGATGTCCATCGCGTCCAGGAGTTCATTCTGGAGCAACTCGTCGAAGTACATGGCGTCCGCGGGCTTGACAAAGTACAGCGTCGTGGTCGTCCCATGCACAACAAGTTCGATCGATATCAACTGCGTGTGAAAGAACCGAATTGGGCCGAGTGCGTTGCGGTCGTCGATCGCGCCGTCCCATTGCGTGCGGAACCCTTGGACCGATCGCAGGTCAAACTGTTTCATGGCGCGATTGATGTTTACAACTTTCTTGATGGCTGATGAAAGGGTCACGTGGGACTCTTTGGATTGCTTGGACAGGTTGCGCACCGCGCGCTGGATACGATTCCGCATCGCGAGCTTGTCCGTGTCGGGGCCAGGCAAACTCATCGACGTGCTTGGCTTGAGAAACGCGCCGTCGTCGCTGTCGTCGTCGTCCTCGCCACTCGACAGACCCAAGTGCTCGTCAAAGACGAGGTCTGCCGTCGCCTCGAGGCTCATGATGCGGACGGCCACAACGAGCATGCTCATTGCCCGAACATAGAGGACGTGGCGATGAATGTCGTCGCGCTCAAAGGACAGTTCGACGCCGTAGATTCGACACAGCTCGCGATAACACGTCACGAGTCTGTCGACGACAACGACTGGGTCGAACAGATGGGCAAGTTCGGCGTTCACGGAGCTGTCGCTGCGGCCTTCCATGAGGGACAAGAGCAACTCCGACGCGGTTTGGTACACCCACACGTCCAACGCCTCCGCCGAGGTGGGGTCTGTCAAGAGCACCTGGCACACTAAGGTTGTCGCGGTGGAGGTCACCTATTCCATCAAATGAGTTACCATGTGTGTTCCAGGGAGTCCCGCCGTACGACGAAGGCTTGATTGTCAGGACAAGGGCCTTGGCAGGCTTCGATGAGACATCGCATGCACTTGACGAAGAGCGGGTCGGACGGCTTCGTTCCTTCCATGATGCGGATGATCGCGGCGAGGACAGTGGTGTCCTCGCAAGGCTCTTGCATCATGGTCTGCCACACAGGGTTGTGATTCTCGCACAGAAGCTGGACAATAGCAAGAGCCATTTTTTGGTAGTGCACGGAAAACTTGTTGATGGTGGGAAGGCGGATGTACTTGAGGAGGAAGCGGAGAAAGATGTCCTTCCGGTCCACGTCGGCCGTCGCTTCATTGTCGTCGTCGTCGTACAGCTCAAGCATCGCACGATACAACGCGTTCTGGGCGGGCTCGTACCCGCCGGCAACGAACTCGTAGATGAGTTCGAGCAAGGCCAGCTCTGGAGCGTCCAAGTTTACCGCGCATTTTGGTATTCCACTGGACTCCCCGGCGGCCTTCTTTGCAGACGATCCCTTCTTGACCGCGGGCACTACCTTGGGGGTCATGCACCGAATGATGAAGTGCCCAACTTGGGCTTCCACAGCTAGTTGCTGGGCGTGCTTCCACTCTTGCTTGGCGTAAATCAGCAGCCGACTCGTGCGTTCGACTTCGAAGGACACGCGCCACTTGCTGGCTGGAGTTTGTGAAACTTGGTCGATGTCGTCGTTGTCGTCGTCAACACGATCCAACGCGACGGCGTCCGCGCCTTGAACGCTAGTCGATGGAAGATTCAAGAGCGAGTCGGACGACTGGTACGTCGGCGGGCCAGACTTGGTACGCTTCATCTCGCGCGCCATGAGGTCGAGCGCGAGTGCACGTTTTTTCTTGAGCAGCAGCGTGATGCCTCGCACTCGGCGAGCTTCCACGTGCTCGCGCAGCTCACGCTGCAAGTTTTCTTCCTCCGCGTCACGGGTCTGGACGCCAGAATTCGAGCTGCCGTACGTGGAAGGAGCGTTCGCCATCGGCTGCTTCTCCTCAACTTGCTCGGGTCCACCAAGGTGATTGCCCATGCATGCAACGTTCGCAGCCTGAGTGGCAAGCCAGGGTGCTCGAACGTCCACCTAATTAGGACTAGATCCCAAATCACCATGTCCACACGACCGCGGGGGCTGCAGCGCCGGCGGCCACATGGTCATCCGTCCCCACTACCATTACGCAAGCTAGCGGCGAGGACGCCCTGCTTGTCGCTGCACGACAGCGTTTGCAGGCGTGCCTTCCTAGCTCGTCTAGTTAGTGCTGTTTGGACAGGTCGGAATTTTTTTTGTGGCCATTGTACAAAACGATCATGACATTAAATTAGTGGGCAGTCGTCCTCCCGCGCTTGTGTGGGACCTCACTCTAGATAACCACGGCGAACGACGCTCGTCTAGCGTCATGATCGCTTTCAGAACACGCCTCCTTTCATTCACAGATCATACCTCCAACCGCGGGCTTCGGCGGACGCTACGTGGCGTCGGCTGGAACTTCAACTGGCGGATTACTTGAGGGGTCTACAATCTCTGTTGGCTCCGCATCCAAGATGGAGAAAAGTTGCTTACCTTGGGGTCACCAACGTGAGTAGTCACGTCCTCGACAAAGCCGTCATGATCGTTAATCGACGCGCCATGCTCCTTAGGCAGCAGGGACAAGTCGTCGCGGCCCATGTGCGGGATGAATACGATGTCGTCAGTGTCGACACCCAAATCGACATGCCGCAGCCGCCACAGCACCCACAAAAGGACGACAACTCCCAACTCGATCAACAGAATCGAGTGGAGGTACATCTCAGTCGTGGCGAACGCGCTCTCCGCCGCGTCCACCTGTCGGTTGTGGTCTTCGATCCATGTGTCGACGTCGTCGCCAACGTTGTCGTCAGAGATTGCTTGTATTCCAAGCCGACAGAGTTCGTCGCCGATAGCGGCACAAACGTCGACGTTGTTGAGTTCTTGCACAGCTTGAGCATTCAAGTCCGCTTGGGTCTGCCGCAGCGCGCGGAGAGCTGCTTGATCGATTTCGATTTCATGTTGAACGGAGAGGAGGAATTGGGGCAATGCCGCCGGCGTGGCGTCGCCGGTTTGAACCAGTCCTTCTTGAGTCCACCGTGCGCGCACTGTAGTTTCCGTGACGCGTTCGAAGTGCTCGAGCGCGGACGCAAGGGCGACTTCGACATCTGCCATTGCCATTGCATTGCGCTCTTTCGTGGTGACGAGAATGGCTTCAAGGTCCGCTTGCATCGACGAAGACTCTTGGTGCAATTGATGCGACGTCGCGTCGAGCTCTCGCGTCAAGGACGTACCCCACGAAGCCAAGCGGTCGTCGTACGCTGCGGCATGCGCGGCCAGACTTTCAACATCGGCGACCAGTTGGTGCAGTTTCGACTGGACGACAAGATCTTGGCCAAGTTGGACATGCAGGGCGGCAACCGACAGAGCCACACAGCCCACGCCGACGATTCCTCGCAGGACTATATCTAGCCATGACATATGCGTCTCTTGCGACTCCTCGGCGTCCTCCACGTCGTCAGCAAGATCAACCAACGGAGGCGGTACTGATGGGGTAACGGCATGGAGGGGAGGCGAGGTTGGTAGTCCAAGTCGCGATGCGTCGCGTAGTTCATGGAGGCGATGGTGTGACTTGCTTGCAATAGCAGCTTCAGAACGCCCACCGAGTGCGCCTTGCTGAACACTCCTTTCTGGTATAGCAAAATCGACTGGTGGCGCAGCACTGTCGAGAGTTGGGACAGCAACCGAGGGCGGTGATGAATAGTTCGCGGTGGGCGAATTGGAAACCGGTGCAGGGGACAAACGGGGCTGGACAAGCGGACAGGTGGTGGCATCCTCTCCACGGGTCACCACAGGGAAACAACTTACACTGCCCGTTGCTACGAACTGCGGCGAAGGTGGAGGACTCTCGTAGTCGGGCTCCCATGCCCATTCAGCCATTGGATCGACAGCAGTGTTGGCCGGATAGATCGCTGCAGAGGATTGTGGCAGGGCCAAACCATTTTTTGAAGGAGAACGAACTGGAGTTGCCACATCGCGAGACACGTCAAAGACGACGTGGTCGGCAGGAGCAACATTTTGCGGTGATGCGGGCCAGTCATCCCATCCATCATTTGAACGCTGTGCAGATGTAGGGGGCAAGGCCTCAGAGCACCCATCTTGAACAATTGCACGAGGCTCATGCTTGGCCGTCAAAAAAGCAGTGCCAGGTTCGTCTTGAGGCCATGGAACATGCCGTTCGGCTTGTGGTTTTATTGCCTGAACAGCGCTTTGGACGGACAATGCCGGGGGCATCGTCACTCCGGTGACCAAAGGTCGAGGCGGGGTCATGCCCAGAAAACTTCGCCTAGCTGGTCGTTGTCGAAGCTGCAGAGAGCTCGCGACATCGAGTTTTCGAACGGGTTGGCGGCCTTGCGCTTGGCTATTGTCGGGATTTGTTGTCAACAATGGTGGTGTGGGTTTTGCATCGACGGATGGAGTGGGTGACTCGTACACTTGAATGGTCGGCATCGAGTCTTGACGCGACGCCGGCGATGCCGCACAAAGAGGCAGAGATGGGTGGATAAGATCCATGTCGAGCGCGTATGGAACTTCTGGCCGAGACGACGGAATGCCAGACGTGTGTTTCGTCAACACTGGCGACGATTCGGGAGAGTTGGCCATGCTCCACGACTTCTGGGACACGGAAGGCGAGGGTGCACCTGTGGGACTTGGTGGTAGCGGTGGGAGTCCACGGACCCAGTTGTTTGGATCCAGATCATTCTCACTTTGCAACTCGGGCGAGTCGAGTTCGACGCTTTGAGTGGAACAGGACGCGGCGTCGCCCTCGAAGCCCCCATCTTCTTCAGGTAGACCATCTTCCGTCGACAAGTTATCGTCGCCTTCACTAGGGGTGGATTCAAGGCCCCAGGTGTCGTCGCCGCCCCCGTGCTTCGCATGGTTTGGATGCATATTCGGGCAAGTGTCAAAGTTGTCGTGCTGTCGTTCAGCCGCTCGAGCGCCGCAGTCATAGGCATCGCCGTGGGACGGGTAGTGTTCGACGTTGCACAGCGAGGGGTTTTCGTGATGGGTCTCCAGTGGGGTGCTGTGCTGGTCATGTCCATCGTCCATGTGCCGTGCAACGGCCGGACTGCTCACAGGTTCCCATGTCGTCGTGGCGTCGCGGGGCTTTACATTCAAATGGGTCGAGATTTCCGGTGCAGGTTCGAGCCCTTCCCACAACCACTGGTTGGTTTCGTTGATCAACTCATTCGGGTCTTCTTGTTCAGGAGAGTGGGAAGGCGACTGGTACCCACTCGGATCGCCATCCGTCTCGACCATGTTGGCATTGTCGATCCAAGCCGACTTGCCAAGGTTCGCTTGGCCGTGGATTTCAAATCTCAACATATCGTCATGCACTTGCTCGGGCGTTTCCACTGTACCAGCTACCTTCGACAACAACGCCACGACATCATCTTGATCTACTGGTTCAGGCGATGCCACCGCAACATCCTCTGGGGAACATGTTTCCACGACTTGATCGTCCCCTGTTTCAAAATGAAGCCGTCGCTTGACGTCTGGACCTTGGTCGACATCACTTGGCCTTTCGTCAGCACCAGGTGGCCCTTTGTCCACGTCCCCACCACCGTTCCAACTGTTGTTGTCTACGTCATGACGAATACCTTCGGCTATCGATAGGTCGTCGTCAAAGGCAGGCAACGTTCTCGCAGGCGGAACCGACGCAGCATCGATATGTCGAGTCGTTTTCGGTTGGCTGTTTGACCGCTGCAGCCGTTGGGATCGCTCCCCTCGTGCGTGGTTGCTATCTTGTGACTTGCTGCGTTGCATTCGACCCCGCGTTTCGTCCAATTGGGGGCGACGAGAATGACGCTGGAGTTGCAACTGCTCGGCCGATCGCTGGGCGGCGCGCTCGGCCATGGCGCGTTGGTGGTTTAGCGATGCAATCGTATGCGCCTGATACACCGGAATATGCTGTTGGGAACGAGACGTTGTGCCCTTGACGAATGCGGCCTGGCGATTGCTGTGGCTGGCGACGGGATTAAAAGTTGCAGGAACAACGACATGTTTCAAGCCATCCTCGCGGTGGCCGTCGTTGTCCATTGCAGGAGAGCTAAAGTCCAATTTGATCGCTAGTTGTCGACGTTGTGGAGGCGTTTGCGGTGTCGGCACGTCAGTCTTTTCATGGACCTTCTCGACATCTACGTCTTCGCGTTGTCGGACATATTTCTCTTCTATGGGGCCAAATTGGAAGTTGCGCAGATGTCGTGATGACGGACGAGGTGGTTCTTCCACGGCGGTCGCTTTGACGACATGGCACAGTCGACGTGTGTGTGTAGCATCGCCAGCAGGTTGCACCGACACAGTCAAACCATCGGTGGAGATAGGTGTTTTGAATGACGCCGGTTGTCGATCGAGAAGGCGCTGCTTCTCAGGATTCGATGCAACTGCATCTTCCGCAGTTTTGTTTCGTGCGGCTCGCCACGCGATGAGTTGTTCCATTCGTGTTTTCGACGCCTGGGAATCCTCAATCGTTGAGGTTTTGGCACGGTGCCCATGGTGTGTTTGATTCGACCAGGATGGTGGAGCTGACGGGGCGCCACTCGTACGAGGATACACTCTCGGGTTATCCTTCGACCGGTACTTGCCGTGTGATGAGGTTCCATGCGTCGTCGGCATCGCGTCCTGGCGTCCTTCACCCCACTCAACTTCCCTACAAACCTTGACGCTCTATGCCTCTTGCTAATTGGCATTGTCGAGACCTCTTTATTTAAATACATCCGGATAAAATGGTTTTTATACGGAACATTGTACAGCAGCCCGACGAAAAATTGTTATTCTGTACGGTACACTGCACAGTAGCTGAGGATTGTGTACGGTACACTGTACAGTAGCTGAGGATTGTGTACGGTACACTGTACAGTATCTGGTGCAGGATACATGAGGTGCCGTTGCAAGGTGATGGGGGGGAATGGCTCTCGATCCTTGACATGGCACGGCTTGCCACGACAACCACATCCAGGAGGAGTGCTTCAGGACGAATCAACTCACCACACGTTGATTTCACGACCCCATAGCACCTGCTAGCGGCAATGCCAACCATGTCGGATTCAGCTCTTCGGGTTGTACACGCAAGCGTGAGGACAATGGTCCCACACATCGTGTCGGCAGCAAACTCAGCGTAGCATCCTACCGTGCAATCGACGTGGCACATAGCACCCCAGTGCAATGCAAACTATTGCACCAACAATGGGAGGATCTTCATTGCGTGGAGGCGGCTCAACTGGCGCACTGTGGGGAGTATCTGGAATGCAAACGCGAGACGAGGAGCTAAAAAGTAGTGATTGTCGAGGGGTAATTTGTGAATGGAGTTCCCATCGAGTAGACGGTCACGACTGAGGGTGGCATTTGCTTCACCGCACAGTCGAATTCGAGACACCGTTTCTAGGGGCGGACAGGATGCAACCAAGTCCACTCCTGTCGGCTTCGAAACACGGCAGCTTGGTCTGGACGAACGCCGAGGGGAGGTGATTCCGAGGCCTGCCCGCTAACTGTACCGCGAGCTAGTTTAGGTTGGAGTAGGTGGGGATGGTCTTACCTTCCGTAACAGTGACGTTGCCACTGTGGGTGTGGCGAATGTTGCGCGGATGTCCTCTCGAGATAGCAGGAAGTTGGGGCAACTTTTCGTCCATGACGACAAGGCGTATTCGTGTCAGGGAAGTATGCAGGTGCAAAATCTAGTCCATGATTTCCGTCAGGCTCGTGCAACTGTGCATAGATGTGGCCGAGATGTTGTCGAATTGACTTACCAAGACCGTGGGGAAGGGAGCGCTGCACCAACTCGACGTCAAACACTTGTGAATGGAGCTCCCGGACTATTTATCAATGTTGTTGTATGGAACAGGGTGCATCACACAGTTTTGAGTCATGGTGATGCAGTGGCAGCTCCCGCTAAACCATGGACACACTTAGTAATTAGCCAACTGGGCATGGTTCTCCCCACTTGTCGCGACAGAGGCCGCGACAAGTGGGGAGAAATGTGGTCACGTCGAAGGATGTACACAGGAGGCAGATGTGGCTTCAGCCTAATTACTTTTCCGATTTCGGAGCAGAGGCTTCCGACAGTCCCCTGGACGTTGCTTTCCCGTTTGTTGGCACATGTTATGCAGAGGGCGTCGGGTCATGGAATGCCAACAATATGGAGGACGACTCGTGCTTCATATGCGCACGGCGGCATGCTGGGTTTCGAACGAAATGAAGGACGTGACGGAGACGAAATCATCGAGACCAATTCGAGATACGAGTTGACAGTCACTGCACGAGCCAGCGCCAGAGTGAGCATGTGGTTGAGCCAGTTATATTTCCACAGAGGGTTATTTTTCCTACCTGAAGCAAAACCCAGCGGTGACTCGAAACATCAAGGCCAACGAAGCTCCCGCCGTGAGGACAAAGGTCAAGATCGAGTGCCCCTACTGATAGACTGATAGACTAGTTGGTACAGCGAAAACAGCATGCACGGCACGGAAATTTAACCAGTGGCTAGTACGACGGTGTACACTGTGCACGCGCCAGTGTCTGTTAAGCTGTGGTGCGATTCAAAGCGAATGAGGTTGCACTCTTGACATGCATGCACCTCATTACCCTACTCCAAGCTCCAATACCAACGACAGATATTTGTTACATGTCGTCCGGGTCACCTCAGCGATCTTCATCTCGTCGACGGCATGCCGCATGGAACTTTGCTTGGATCCACTAGAATGACATCCATCCGTGTTCATGGGCACACAGGCTTGACATACGGGCCACCGAATTGTCCACTTCGCCGTACACGTGGCCAAGCGTTACATGGTCCGTTTCATTCGGTTACTCCATATCCGAAAGATCGAAACTAAGTATCGAAAGGTCACGAGCATTACCATTCCAGGGTGGGTAGACAACGAGCATGGACGAGGTGTGGGAAGCCATGAAACGAGAGAACGGGGTGAAGCTCATGCGGCTGAAGAAGCCCAAGGCGGTCAAATTGTCTCTGCCCAAGGCAAAGAAAGATCCTGGCGAGCAACAATGTCCAAGCTGTGAAGTCCCTGTGGTCGACGTCCGACAATGCTCGACGGCGTCCATGGAGACCGAATCTCCGAGGAGGCTGGCTCCTTCGATCCCTGAAATGGATCTCATGTCTCCCACGGATCTCGTGGTGACCTGCCAGCGCGATCTCAACAGCTTGAGCGACGAGCAACAAGGAATTCGTAAGCGCGCCGTCGAATCGATACAAGCCACCCTCGCTAATGTGGATACTGGGACCCTCCACGCCGTCTTTGTGACCTTTGCCAAACCGTTATTCAAACGATTCAACGATCCTGTTGAGAAGGTGCGTGACGTGAGCGTCCGCCTGAGTATTCGCTTCCTTACGGGGTACCCCGACCTGCTTCCTCTCCTGCCGTACCTTATGCCAGCAGTGTCGAACCGAATTGGCAGCACATGGGACTACGACGAAAAACTCAATGTTTTCGTCCGCGACGCCACGCTCCTGGCAGCGCACAACCGTGGCCGGATCTTTGTCCCGGAAGCAGACGTCCAGCGGATAAAACCCCGGGAACCGTCCGAGGAGGTACGGCTTCTGTTCATCGAGCTCGTGCAGACACTGCTTCACACCGCATTTGACCACAACGCTGCGTCCCTTCTCAACGCGTACGTGTACGACATCATTCGCGTGCTCGTGTACGGGCTCCACGATTCGTTCCCAAGCGTCATCGTCAAGACATGCGAGACGCTGGTGCTTTTGAGTCTTAACCTGGTGTCCGTCATCAAGCACTTTGCCGTCGCGCTGGTCCGGGCGGCCAAGCACTTGCTTGAGCATCGGCTCGCCAAGGTTCGCGTCGCCGCCATGCTTTGCATCCGCACGGTCGTCATGGTGCCAAATGTTGACAAGTGCAAGGGCGCTGGCACGGAGGCCATCATGGACCTCGTCGCACACCAGGACGAGAACGTGATTCCAGTTGCCGCGTTCTACACGACCGACGTGAAAGTTAACTTGTTTGCGAAACTCGACCAAGACGGCAATGTCGTTGTCCGCCAGACGTTCTTCGACACGATCGCGATTTGGCTGCTCGAGCTGCCGGATCGATACGACTACGAGTCTAGGCTCATGCCGTACTTGCTCAGGTGCGTATACATACCTAGACGCAACGACGTGACGGTGCACTTGACTAGCGCGGTAGCAGACGACTGTCCGGCCATTTCGTCTCACGCCATGCAAACGATCGAAGTCTTGGGCAAGCGGCATGCGGCAGAGCACCCTGACGACGTATGAGCTGCAAATTTTTTCTCGTCGAACGATATTCGATGACATGAAATGATTTGGGCACAGGTAATCGAGCGCACCCAGTATGCCGTAGACGGCGCGATCTTTTGCAACTTTGCCAAGTCATACCCGGCTCCATTTTCTGAGCGACCATCGCTTGGCACTCGCTTGTATGTCCGCGGCCGATGCCGCCGATTTATCAATGTACGTCTTATCTCGATCGAAATCCGACCCTGTGGCGCTAACCCTTGAAAATCGTGGTAGACTCTACTCCGAGAGCTCAGCCACTGGCAAGGCCCGACAAGGATTCACGCGTCGCGCCTGCTCGTATGCCTCTTGGTCTACTGCGAGGACTCGGTCACGGTGGACTTGCACTTGATCATCCCGCATTTAATTCAGAGCTGGGATGACACGGTGGTGAGAGATTCGCTTCGCCAAGTTGCTGACTGCTGCGGTCGGTTCACGCAACCGGCCTCGTACGTGCCGCTTTTCTTGCCATACATCCGCGGCGAGACTCCTTCCCTCAAGATCATCCAGGGCATGGAAGTGTTGGGCGCGTTCTTCGATGGCATGGGCGATTTAAACCGAAAGAACCTCCTCGCGCAGTTGCCACAGCTGACCGAAGCACTCACGATGCGATTTCTCTTGAATGCGACGACGGTGCAGCCGATCTTGGCCGACATCGTGGGTCGCATCGTGACGCACTTGCAAGGTCAGGGAGGTCAAACTGACCTACCTGACTTCCTCTGTCGCAGGACTGTCCAATTTGGGCTGCGACCCCTCATTTGAATCTCAAGGACGACTCGTGTCCAAGTCGCTTCTATACGAGCGGTTCCTCCGAATCTTGCTGGCTCTGCCCATTTCCACCCCGTACGACATGCACACCTCTTGCAGCACCCCTCTAACCGATCAGTTCCACGAATAGAAATGCCTCAGCTAGCATGGTGGCCATGCAAGATATCACGGGCGTGCCAAACGTTCACGATGCCTACTTTGACGCGACGTGGATGCACTTGCAACAGGAATACCCTGTTGCCGCATGGGTCGACTGGTCACCCACATGCTACGAGCACCGTGTGCTCGCTGCATTGCTTCTGCACGGCCTTTCCTCTCGCTGTGTTGAGCAGCACCTGTCGCAAATCGCGGCATTTCTGCTGGCCATTTGGAGCACGCCTTGTGACGCTGACGTCGTCTCCAAGCAAGTAGAGCGACGAGATTCGCTTGCCAGCATCATTGTGACCCTGGCGGCCAAGTTAGATGCGCCCGGTGATTTGGCTACGCTTCGGCAGATCGCATTGGACTGGCAACACCAAAGGCTCGGTGGTGTTTAGGCGCACCGTGGGCAACCCGTCATCTTGCAAAATGCACTAATGCATCGGTGAATTACAACCAGAGAATCTGGCGCGCACGATCATCTTGCGCCAAGTTCTCGGGCTGCGCTGTCGAGGCTGTAAACTCATTCCATACTACCCCAGTGGTTTTCGTCATTTATGCAAAAATTACTGCAATTTTCGTGAAGAATTCCTACTCCATGTAGTGTCGAAACTTGGCGGCTGGAAATTCAACGATTCCTCCATTCGTCGCGCGCAATGCAGACGATCGAAGCCTTGGGCAATCGTCATGCGGCAAAGCACCCGGGCAAAGAAGTATGAGCTATATGGTAGAGTATCCTCACGGTTCAGGCTTTCCATACACTTATGACACGTACTCGAGATATATTCACTTGAAAATTGTAAGAACTCGCATCCAAACACATTTTGTTCGAACCAGCGGACATGGTCGGACACTTAGTGTTCCTTTCATTTGTGTGAGCTCTCATAACCATGAAATGCCCACAGCAGGCCCTGGTAATTACGCACACCTGAGTGCAGCGGAGGTCGTGTGTATAATTTCCTGCAGGCGGTGCTTTGACGAAGAGCGAGCCCCAACCTTTCATGTCACCGACTGTCCAATCTTTTACTCGTCGGGGTAAGCGGCAAATGGGCTTTTAGGGGTTTGGGTATCCGGATTATCCCGTTGACTATGTATTCCTATCTTCGTTGATAATTGGTCCAAAAAGAGATATTTACATTGAAGCATGCTATATGATTGGATATAATGAATAGAACGAACTTTGATTGGTGCATATATAATAACCTGCTACAAGTGTTGAAGGCACCGATGCGCTTGTGAGGCGACGAAAGAGTCGAGTGGCGGAGTTGGCAGAGTGATCCAGGCTTCCCATGTACAGCAGGCACGTCCAGTTAGAAGACTGGATCGAGAACTGGAATGTCTCTGCATCCAGCGCCAAAGTAATGGCGTGGCAACACATGTCCAGGTGTGTTCCCAAACATCAAGCTCTCTCAACGTAGCACGATGCAAGTTAGCACTTCAAGGCCGATGCTAGGTAGAAAGGGGTGGCTATGTAGACGATGCCAGTCGGACACTTTACACGAACCTTGATGATGTTATCCAATAGTTTCTGGATTTCTTGGTCACAGGCAAGACATACTGGCAGTCAATCCTTCGGGTAGGGCAGAGAATCTTGTCGCCAGCGTTCGTGCCACACCAATTCACAGCTTGATGCGTCATGTTGGGAGGTGGGAGCACTGGCACTGGACCACCCCACGCAAAGTACGAGGATGTCCCAGTTATGCCTTTGTTGCACAGGTTCACGAGGACGTCGCATGGAGGAGGCTCGTTGACTACGTCAGGAGTGTGGATGCTTTATCTGCAATTCCTTGACAATCCAACCCCTCATTTGCTTGATCCGCACACTGCCATCAACACCTTCGTTACGGAGTAATGAGCGTAACAACAATGAATCGCACTTTCACGAGTAACAAACACGTCGTACTTTCGTCTCTTAAGTACGTGTCGTAGCCATGTCGCATAGTGTTGTGCAGACGATCATCGTGCACCGTCAACGTAGTTTCCAAGCTAGAAAAACGATGCATTTCACTTGCAAGCGTCACTGTGTCCCTTGCGGCGAAGTTGGTTGTCCACGGCAACTTGGATTCGCTCTGCCAGAGAGGATAATTCAGCGGTACAACTCACCACTGGTCAGCCAGGTCCGGTGTGGCTTTGTCATGTCGCGCTGTTTGTGACACTTCGGTGTGACCATCCACTGAGGGATATCCTCAAATTTCAGCAAAAATGACGCATATATGTGTGAAAATGTTGAATTCTGCTGCTCCTTGTATTATCAGTTGCACACCCGCATCGGCGGTCGAAGATTCAATGGAAGTATCCTACTAATTTCGCGAATAAAGATTCAAAATGGGGAACTTTCCCAATCGGTACTTCGCTTTATCACTCTTGTCACCAGAGCAACCCAAGTCAATTGCCTCTTACAACAACATGTAGGATAATACCCATTCGTCCTGGGCTACAACCCCACACAATGCACATCCGCAACTCGGATGACACACAAGTTGAGGATAAACGGCGGCTGTAAGGTTGTGAGAGGCGTGGCACGCCACGGTGGTGGTCTGGAAAGCTCATTTTCGATTTAACCCCCACGCAGCATGAAGCTCTTCGCGCCGCTCTTTGTCGTTGCTCTCGGGTCCGCCCAAGCCTCCAAGTCACCTGCGTGGATGGGCGCGACGCATCACATGACGAGTAACAAACACGTCGTACTTTCGTCTCTTAAGTACGTGTCGTAGCCATGTCGCATAGTGTTGTGCAGACGATCATCGTGCACCGTCAACGTAGTTTCCAAGCTAGAAAAACGATGCATTTCACTTGCAAGCGTCACTGTGTCCCTTGCGGCGAAGTTGGTTGTCCACGGCAACTTGGATTCGATCTGCCAGAGAGGATAATTCAGCGGTACAACTCACCACTGGTCAGCCAGGTCCGGTGTGGCTTTGTCATGTCGCGCTGTTTGTGACACTTCGGTGTGACCATCCACTGAGGGATATTCCTCAAATTTCAGCAAAAATGACGCATATATTTGTGAAAATGTTGAATTCTGCTGCTCCTTGTATTATCAGTTGCACACCCGCATCGGCGGTCGAAGATTCAATGGATGGATCCTACTAATTTCGCGAAAAAAGATTCAAAATGGGGAACTTTCCCAATCTGTACTTCGCTTTATCACTCTTGTCACCAGAGCAACCCAAGTCAAATGCCACTTACAACAACATGTAGGAAAATACCCATTCGTCCTGGGCTACAACCCCACACAATGCACATCCGCAACTCGGATGACACACAAGTTGAGGATAAACGGCGGCTGTAAGGTTGTGAGAGGCGTGGCACGCCACGGTGGTGGTCTGGGAACCTCATTTTCGATTTAACCCCCACGCAGCATGAAGCTCTTCGCGCCGCTCTTTGTCGTTGCTCTCGGGTCCGCCCAAGCCTCCAAGTCACCTGCGTGGATGGGCGCGACGCATCACATGCACCAAGTGGCCGACGCGTGCATGTCGGAGCACTTGAACGCGTGTGAGTTCCCCATGACTGGCCGCCGTCTCGCCGAAACCACCGACTCCATCACTGTGTCGGCCACGTCGTTGGCTCACTTGGCAAAGTTGAATGTATCGTTCAGCGTTTCCGTGGGCAACGCCACGGATCGCGTGGCTGCGTACTGCACGACCCAAGTCGCGTCTGCGCCTGACAGCGAGTACATTGATTTCCAGCCTGCAGGCGGCAAGCCCTCGGCGACACTCACGTTTGGCCCGCTTCTCAACATGCGTTGTGACTACCAGTTCCGGTACCTTAAGGACTTGGGCAACATGACGTTCCAAACGCTGGCCGTGTCGCCCGTGGTCAAGATGGCCCGCGGAAACACGGAGCCTCTTCAAGTGCACATTGCGCTCACGAAGAATGCGCAAGAGATGAGCGTGAGCTGGACAAGTGACCGAGTGACAAAACCCACCGTCCGCTACTACGTCAAGAAATCCTACGACAAAGACCACGACTTTACGGACGACATCGCGTACCACACACTGCCACAACCTGGAGACTGCTAGAGATCCTGTTGCTGTAAAATAGTGGCAGTCACCTCCAAACCAAACATGCGAATCGACGGTTGGTACTGCGTTGGAAATATCCCGCTGAATCGGCGAATCAAGCGTCACAATGAGGAACTTTCCTCATCGACAGCGAAACGACCCTCCATTTTCTCACGATTGGTTGGCGGAGAGCAAAACTATTCAATATGCCCATTTCAACACCATGTAGGAAAATACCCAT